AATTTAACAACTGCCGTGATTCATTGAACAACCGTGGCGAGGAAAGTCGTAAAACGGGGCCAAACTCACTTAACGGTCTCACTTAGCGATGAAATTTCAGGCTGGACTGTGGCCGTAAGTCGAGGGCTATGAAATGTTGGTGGGAATGTCCTATTTTTAGAAGCCCTGATGCCAACGTGGCCTCTTTTGAACAGGGGGAAGAAGGAAGCGCTGGCCTTCGTGGTCCTCTAGGTGTGACGGTAAGCGAGCCCAGGGATCCGGGATCCCGTCAAACCATCGAAGAGAAGAGCAAAAGCATGCAATGCCCCATCTTATTCCTTTTGACATCTCCAACATTGCTTGTTGATTGATGGACGGGTTATTTTAATTTCTTAATGTTTTACAATGCTGTTTTTTGCGTATCGTACGCTACCGAGAATTGTCCTATAGATAGCATGATAGCCAGCGTTCAAGTAAAATAATAAAATGAAGGGATAAAGTAAAATAAAATAAAATATAAAATAGAATAATAAAATAAAATAGAATGAGATGATAGCCAGCGTTCAAGTAAAGTAATAAAATGAAGTGATACAGTAAAATAAAATAAAGTGTAAAATAGAAAAATAAAATAAAATAGAATGAGATGATAGCCAGAGTTCAAGTAAAATAATAAAATGAAGTGATACAGTAAAATAAAATAAAATGTAAAATAAAATAGTAAAATAAAATGAGATGAGATGATAGCCAGCATTAAAGTAAAATCATAGTGATAAAATAAAATAATAAAATAAAATAACATAACATAGCATTCAAGTAAAATAATAAAATGAAGTGATAAGGTAAAATAAAATAAAATGTAAAATAGAATAATAAAATAAAATAGAATGAGATGATAGCCAGCGTTAAAGTAAAATCATAGTGATAAAATAAAATAATAAAATAAAATAAAATAACATCTTAAACATTGCTTGTTTATTGATTGATTGATTGATTATTTTAATTTCTTAATGTTTTACAGTGTTGTTTTTTCGTATCGTACGCTGCCGAGAATTGTCCGATAGATAGCATGATAGCCAGCATTAAAGTAAAATAATAAAATGAAGTGATAAAGTAAAATAAAATAGAATAATAAAATAAAATGAGATGATAGCCAGCATTAAAGTAAAATAATAAAATGAAGTGATACAGTAAAATAAAATAAAATATAAAATAGAATAGTAAAATAAAATAAAATGAGATGATAGCTAGCGTTAAAGTAAAATAATAGCGATAAAATAAAATAATAAAATAAAATAACATCTTAAACATTGCTTGTTTATTGATTGATTGATTGATTATTTTAATTTCTTAATGTTTTACAGTGTTTTTATTGTATCATACGCTGCCGAGAATTGTCCGATAGCATTATAGCCAGGATACAAGTAAAATAATAAAATAAAATGATAAAATAAAATAAAATATAAAATAAAATAAAAACCAGGTTTTGTTCCTTTGTTTTCCAGGGGCAGAAAGGCCCTGCTGGTTTAAAAGGAGAAAAGGTAAGAAGAACAAAATTTCAAATATGCAAACATTTCTTTTCTTTTCTGCTTATCTTTGAGGGCGCCTGGTGTTTCTAGAAGCACCAATTCCGTTGGATTTTTGGCCGTTACCAAATGCACACAAATCCATTTGACATTCCTTCTTTTTCCATGTTTAGGGTGACGTTGGCATTCCTGGACTCAAAGGAGAGAAAGTAAGGGGGATCCAAAGTGGGCTGGGTGATGGGACAGCTGGAACTCCAAGGAACGGTCCTAGCCATCATTTGTTTAGTGCAGTGGTTCTCAACCTGTGGGTCGGGACCCCCTTTGGGGTCGAACGACCATTTCACGGGGGTCGCCAAACAACGCAGTCCGCCATTTTTTCCCCCTTTTCCTTAGCTGTGCTACTCCCTTTTAGTCTATTGGCTTTTGAAAGCCAATAGAATAGACTCTCTTGAATAGAGTCTAATTCTATTGGCTTTCAAAAGCCAATAGGAATTGTCCAGGCTGTCTCTGCCCTGCTGAGCCCGCCAAAAGTCCCATTCTGCAAACGGTGCTGCACCAGTTGAGTAGTCCTCGACTTATGACCGGTTGGGGGTCACGGCATTAAAAAGGTTGAGAACCACTGGTTTAGTGCATGGCTGGCTGGAGAATTCGGGGAGTTGAAATCCGTGCGCCTTAAAAGCTGCCAAGGTTGAGGAACTCCATGTAGGAACACCCAGTGCAAACTACATTTCTCTTGTATGTTTGAACCACAGGGAGATTCGATCACAATCCTTGGACCTCAAGGCTACAAGGGCAATAAAGGAGATACGGTAAGTTGTGTTGACTTGATTGTTGTTGGGAATGAAGCATTTGCTTTCTTCATGGCTCATTGAGATGGGTCATCCTCTTCCTCTCTACAAAACCCCCTCCCTTCTAGCACTGCTGATGCTAATTAGTTGGCTCATGAAACATCTGCAAGAAAACCACCCAGCTCAGAGAGCATCAAGGATACGCACAGTCAGTCTCCTCCTCCTCCTCCTCCTCCTCCTCCTCCACCACCACCACCACCACCACCTCCTCCTCCTCCTCCTCTCTGTAAACCTCACTCCCTTCTAGCACTGATGCTGTTCCCTAGTTGGGTCATGAAACGTCTGCAAGAAAACCACCCAGCTCAGAGAGCATCAAGGGTATGCACAGTCAGTCTCCTTCTCCTCCTCCTCCTCCTCCTCCTCCTCCTCCTCCTCCTCCTCCTCCTCCTCCTCCACCTCCTCCACCTCCACCTCCTCCTCCTCCTCCTCTCTGTAAACCTCACTCCCTTCTAGCACTGATGATGTTCCCTAGTTGGATCATGAAACGTCTGCAAGAAAACCACCAAGCTCAGAGAGCACCAAGGACCCCACTGTCGTTGTCCTCCTCCTCCTCCTCCTCCTCCTCCTCCTCCTTGCAAGCCCTACTCCCTTCTAGCATTGCTGATGTTCCCTAGTTGGGTTATGAAATGTCTGCAAGAAAGCCACCAAGTTCAGAGAGCATCAACCACCCCACAGTCCTCCTCTCTCCCCCTCCTCCTCTTTGCAAACCCCACTTCCCTTCTAGCACTGATGATGTTCCCTAGTTGGGTCATGAAACATCTTTAAGAAAACAACCAACCTCAGAGAGCACCCAGGACCCCACAGTCTTTCTCCTCCTCCTCTTCCTCCTCCTCCTCCTCCTCCTGTCCGCAAACCCCACTCCCTTCTAGCATGGATGATGTTCCCTAGTTGGTTCATGAAACGTCTGCAAGAAAACCACCCAGCTCAGAGAGCACCAAGGACCCCACAGTGACACTCTTTCTTTCCACGTTGTCGGTCTAAATTCAAATGCCTTCTTGTTCCTCCAGAAACTTTCTGTGTGGAAATAACACCGTCTTGGTGAAAGTCCAAGAAATGGAAAAATTAGGCTTCAAACTCTCCAGGAGAGGCCTACAAGGAACCACCAACAGGACAGAAGACTTTAAAACGAGAAGGAATTCTCTCTCTCTCTCTCTCTCTCTCTCTCTCTCTCTCTCTCTCTCTCTCTCTCTCTCTCTCTCTCTCTCTCTCTCCTCTCCCTCTCTTCTGTCTGTCTCTCCTTCTCCCTCCCTCCCTCTCCCTCTCTTCTGTCTCTGTCTCTCCTCTGTCTCTTTTCTCTCTCCTCTCTCTTTCTCTTTCTCCTCTCTCCCTCTCTCTTCTCTCTCTCTTTTGTCTCTCTCCTCTCCCTCTCTTCTCGCTCTTTCTTCTGTCTGTCTCTCTTTCTCTCCTCTCTCTCTCTCCCTCCCCCCCCCTCTCTCTCTTTCTCTTCATCGTGGTTAATCCAAACCCAGAGAAGCACAACTGACTTTATTCTTTCCTTTCTTCCACCCTAAAGCAAAAAATACTTGTACCTTTTCACTTAGGGGGAACGAGGTCCTCCAGGCTTTGACGGGGACAAGGGCGAGAAAGGAGAAGATGGCCCTTTTGGAGAAAAGGTATTTTTTGAAGATTTCCAATTGTATCTTAGTCAACCAACCAGGATTAAATGAATGTATGAATCAGACGAATAGAATAGAATAGAATATAGAAATAACAGATTGTAGAATAGAATAGAATAGAATAGAATAGAATAGAATAGAATAGAATAGAATAGAATAGAATAGAATAGAATTGGAAGGGACCTTGGAGGTCTTCTAGTCCAACGCTCTGTTCAAGCAGGAGATCCTACACCAGTGGTGGCGAACCTAGGGCACGGGTGCCAGAGGCGGCACTCAGAGCCCTCTCTGTGGGCACGCGTGCTGTCGCCCCAGTCCTAGGCCTTCAGCTGGGTTTTATAAAACCTTTTCGCTTTAGGCCTCCGCCGTCGTGTGCAAAAAAAAAAAAAAAGGTTCAATCAATCAGTCAATTTCAACTTCTCACAGGAAAAAAAAGATCTTGCAAAGTTGGAATGGATTGATTGAACTTTTTAGTCCCACCCAGTCTACCGTTACCACCCCAGCCACGCCCACCCAACGGGCCATACCCACCCAATGAGCCATGCCCAGCCAATGAGCCACGCCCACCCAACGGGCCACATCCACCCAATGAGCCATGCCCAGCCAATGAGCCACGCCCACCCAATGGGCCACACCCACCCGGCACTCGACAATGCATAAGTAGGTTTTGGGTTGCAATTTGGGCACTCGGTCTCTAAAAGGTTCGCCATCATTGACCTACATTATCTCAGACAGGTGACTGTCTAGTCTCTTCTTAAAAATCTCCAGTGATGGAGCGCCCACGATTTCTGGAGGCAGGTTGTTCCACCGGTTAATTGTCCTCACTGTCAGGAAATTTTTCCTTAGTCCTAGGTTGCTTCTCTCCTTGGTTAGTTTTCATCCGTTGCTTCTTGTCCTGCCTTTAGGCGCTTTGGAGAATAGCTTGACTCCCTCTTCTTTGGGGCAGACCCTCAGATACTGGAACGCTGCTATCGTGTCTCCCCTATTTCTTCTTTTCTTTAGACTAGCCAGACCCAAGTCCTGCAGCCGTTCTTCGTCTCTTTTAGTCTCCAGGCCTTGGATGTTAGCTGTTATTTTGAAGGAAGGAAATTCCCTATGATGCAAACTTCTGATTTAATGGGTCGAAGAATGGGAGAGGAAATATTTTCATTTTTCCCTTTTTCTCCACTGACTAGGGGATGAAGGGAGACCCGGGGGCCAAAGGAATGATGGGGTTTTTTGGCAGAAGAGGCCCCGTAGGGCAGAAGGTCAGTGAAGCAATTCTGGGATTTGCACAATATGCAACAGATTGTACTCCATTTATGATGGCAAGTTTGTGATGCTCTTTTCGGCAATTAAAATTGTCATTGTAATTTTGCTTCCTGGGCAGGGTGAAATTGGAGAACCTGGCCTGACTGGACTTGCTGTAAGTTGGAAATCATCTTATTCCTTCCTTCCTTCCTTCCTTCCTTCCTTCCTTCCTTCCTTCCTTCCTTCCTTCCTTCCTTCCTTCCTCCTTCCTTCCTTCCTTTCTTTTTCCCTCCCTCCCTCCCTCCCTCCCTCCCTTCCTTCCTTCCTTCCTTCCTTCCTTTTTCCCTCCCTCCCTTCCTCTCACTCTCACTCTCATTCTCCTTCCCTTCCTTCCTTCCTTCCTTCCTTCCTTCCTTTCTTCCTCATTCATTCATTCATTCATTCATTCATTTTGTTGGTTTTGCTGTAAGTTGAGTCTCACTTATTCGTTCATTCATTCAATATTTTGGATTTATTGTAAGTTGAAAGTCATCTTATTCATTCATTCATTCATTCATTTATTCATTGTGTTGGATTTACTGTAAGTTGGAGGTTATTCATTCATTCATTCAGGTTATTGGTTTTGCTGTAACTTGGATGTCACTTTCTTTATGTATTCATTCATTCATTCATTCTGTTGGATTTCCCATAAGTTGGAAGTCATTCATTCATTCATTCAGTTTATTGGATTTACTGTAAGTTGGAGGGTATCTATCTATCTATCTATCTATCTATCTATCTATCTATCTATCTATCTATCTATCTATCCATCTATCCATCTATTCATTCGTTCCATTCGTTGGTTTTCCTGTAAATTGGATGCCTTCTTGTTTCTTAATTCATTCATATTCAATCCATTCCAGTTCAGTTGGAAACCATTCATTCACTTAACCAATCAACTGATTTATTGGATTTACTGCAGGTTGGAAGTCATCATATTTATTTACTCAATCTGTATTGAATCTCAACAATTGAGTCCTGGCCATGAACAAAATGGATCACCATCTGATTTCTGGTGGGTTGAATGAATGGCATGTGTAGAATAGAATAGAGCTGGAGGGGGCCTTGGAGATCTTCTAGTCCAGCCCCCTGCTCCAGTGACTGTCCAGTCTCTTCTTAAAAGCCTCCAGTGACGCAGCACCAACAACATCTGAAGGCAAAGCTGTTCCACTGGTTAACTGTCCTCCCTGTTAGGAAGTTTCTCCTTTATTCCAAGTTGCTTCTGTCTTTGATGAGAGCTCTAAAATATCGCGCTAAATTCACAATTGTATCCGTAGTTGCTGGAGTTGAGCAAGAGTCTTAACAAAATAACAGAATGACAACAGAGTTGGAAGGGACCTTGGAAGGTCTTCTAGTCCAGCCCCCTGCTCAAGCAGGAGACCCTGTACCCTTTCAGATGCCCAATCTCTTCTTAAACACCTCCAGTGTTGGAGCACCTACAACTTCTGAAGGAAAGTTGTTCGTGCGGTCCCCAACTTGGACTTAATAGTCTAACTTCTTCCTCAGCAAAAAGCATCTTTCAGCTCCCATAGAAAAATTCAACCTCCTGTTGAGGAAGGTCTTGATTTTGTAATTAATTCAAGAGCATTTCAGGGAACTTGGCACACGTAGCTTAACAGCCTTCTGATCTTTGAAAGATGTTCCACGGAAGAGGGAGCAGGTTGAACGGTCGCTAAATGAACTGTGGTAAGTAGAGGACTACTGGATAGAATAGAATAGAATAGAATAGAATAGAATAGAATAGAATAGAATAGAATAGAATAGAATAGAGAATGGAATGGAATGGAATAGAATAGAATAGAGAATGGAATGGAATGGAATGGAATAGAATAGAGAATGGAATGGAATGGAATGGAATAGAATAGCAAAGAGAATGGAATGGGATAGGATAGGATAGGATAGAATAGAATAGGATAGAATAGAATAGAATAGAATAGAATAGAATAGAATAGAATAGAATATGGAATAGAATAGAATAGAATAGAATAGAATAGAATAGAATAGAATAGAATAGAATAGAATAGAATAGCAAAGAGAATGGAATGGGATAGGATAGGATAGGATAGGATAGAATAGAATAGGATAGAATAGAATAGAATAGCAAAGAAAATGGAATAGAATAGAATAGAATAGAATAGAATAGAATAGAATAGAATAGAATAGAGAATAGAATAGAATAGGATGGGATAGGATAGGATAGAATAGAATAGCAAAGAGAATGGAATAGAATGGAATGGAATAGAATAGAATAGAATAGAATAGAATAGAATAGAATAGAATAGAATAGAATAGAATAGAATAGAATAGAATAGAACAGGAAGTCGAGGACTACCTGTATTTCCCCATCAAGAGGCCGCCAGGTCTTCTGCTTCATTTGCCATGTCGTGTTTGCTCTTTCCAGCACTAAATGACCCTAACAGAGGCTTTCTGTATCATGATTCTGTTTACTTTGGGAGAACCTAGAAGGCCAATATCAGAAGATAAATGTTACCAGCTGTTTGCCTGATTCAGGCCTGGGCCCTGTTTGTTGAGGGAGAGGCAGGTTGTAGACTTTCTCCTGTAATCGTGTCCGCCTTCCTTTTTCACCCCTAAAGACTCCCTTAAGTCAAACTCAATCCTTGAGGGCACCAAAGGATCATTCATGGTCATGTTCTTGGATAGAATAGAAGAGGATAGGATAGAATAGAATAGAATAGAAGATATAGGAAAGAATAGAACAGAACAGAACAGAACAGAATAAGAAATAGAATAGAATAGAATAGAATAGAATAGAATAGAATAGAGTTGGAAGGGACCTTGGAGGTCAACTAGTCCAACCCCCTGCTCAGGCAGGAAACCCCATCCCCTTTCAGACAAAAATGGCTCTCCAGTACTCTTCTTAAAAGTTGTTCCACATGTTAATTCTTCTAGCTGCCAATCGCAGTTGCTCGTCTTTGGGGGTGTTTCAGATTCCCAATCCAAACGATCCCCTTGTGGCCTCCCATCCGAGAATAACAGAATGACAGAGTGGGAAGGGACCTCGGAGCTCTTCTAGTCCAACCCCCTGCTCAAGCAGGAACCCCCCCCATCCAGGTAGTCCTCGACTTTACGACCACCGTTGAGCCCCAATTTCTGTTGCTCGGTGAGACATTTGTTCAGGGAGTTTGGGCTCCATTTTGCGACCTTTCCTGACACAGCTGTTAAGCGGGTCACTGCAGTTGTTAAGCTAGTTCACAGGGTTGTGAAGTGACTCTGGCTTCGCCTCCCCCCCATGGACTTTGCTTGTCAGAAAGTCGCAAAAGGGGATCGCCTGACCCCGCGACGCTGCAACCGTCATAAGTACGAGTCAGTTGCCAAAGCGTCTGAATTTTGATGACGTGCTCACGAGAATGCTGCAATGGTCATAAGTGTGAAAAAGGGTCATAACGTTTTTCAGCCAGGTTCACTTAATGACTATGTGATTCAATGAACTGCAGTGTTTTGGTTACGTCGCAAAATCCAACAGCAAGTGTGCAAAATCAGAACTTCACAACAAGTGTTCTTTAGCCATCTTTGGGTTCAGCTGTGGGTGTTGGTCAACCGCCCTATCAACAGAACCCCCATTACAACGCCGGTCCAAAGGGACGGAGCCCGGACTGGACAGTCGAGGCTGCCATCTTGACTTTTTTGACCCTCTTCCTGGGGACTTTGCAAATCTGCTGGTGTTTTTCGGTTTGGGAAACGGCCTGGTTGTCTTCTCAAACTTCCCTGTGCAATGCAAGCATCGCTTGAAATGATTAAAAAAAAAAAAAAAGATACTTGCTACTTATCTTGTGCAAAAAAAAAAAAGAAGAGAAAGAGAGAGAATAAAACAGAAGGCAATAAATATATCTTTCTCGCACAGCAAATAGCTGAAAATTGATGTGCTATTAGAGGCTGTTGATTCACTGTGTAATCATCTATCTCAGAGAACCTTCACGCATGTCATTACCTTGGAAATGGATGCAAGACCAGATCAGGGGGGGAGGGGGGGTCCTCAAATTTTTAATACCAAAGGAAAGGAATTGAGTAGGTCAAAGACTCTGGGTCTCTCACACTCTATCGTTTATCAGTTATCAGGTTTATTTTGTTTTCGCTTTTTTTTTTGCTGTCTTCTTCCAAATCATCTTCGTATTCACTTTTACTGTGGTTCTGATGTTGCTCTGTCGATAGAAATTCTCTGTGTGTGTGTGTTTCTCTATTCTCCTTCTCTGTCTGTCTGTCTCTCTCTGCCTTTCTCTCTCTGTGTCTCTCTGTCTGTGTCTGTCTAAGGCAGTGGTTCTCAACCTGTGGGTCGGGACCCCATTTGGGGTCGAACGACCATTTCACGGGGGTCGCCAAACAACGCAGTCCGCCATTTTTCCCCCTTTTCCTTAGCTGTGCTCCTCCCTTTTATTCTATTGGCTTTTGAAAGCCAATAGAATAGACTCTCTTGAATAGAGTCTAATTCTATTGGCTTTCAAAAGCCAATAGGAATTGTCCAGGCTGTCTCTGCCCTGCTGAGCCCGCCAAAAGTCCCATTCTGCAAACGGTGCTGCACCAGTTGAGTAGTCCTCGACTTACGACCGGTTGAGTAGTCCTCAACTTACGACCGGTTGGGGGGTCACGGCATTAAAAAGGTTGAGAACCACTGGTCTATGTCTTTCTGCCTGTCTCTCTCTTTCATCTATCTATCTATCTATCTATCTATCTATCTATCTATCTATCCATCCATCTGTCTAATCTATCCATTCATTCATCTATCATCTATTTACCAATTTATTATCCATCTATGTCTATCACTAGATTTCCATCCATTCGTCTGTGTGTCTCTTTCATCCATCTATCTATCTATCTATCTATCATCTAGCTATCCATCTATCCATTTATCCATTTATCCATCCATCCATCTATTCATCTATCCATTTATCCATCCATCCATCTATCCATCATCCATCTATCCATCATCTATCCATCCATCCATTTATCCATCCATCCATTTATCCATCCATCCATCTATTCATCTATCCATTTATCCATCCATCCATCTATCCATCCATCCATCTATCCATCATTTATCCATCCATCCATTTATCCATTTATCCATCCATTTATCCATCCGTCCATCCACCCATCCGTCTGTTGGGCTCATGTATGGTCATAAGTTGAGGACTTCCTGTATTTCCTGCATAGTCTATTTATCTACAGGCCCCGTGAATCTTTCTTATTCATATTTTAGTTTCTCTACCCAGGTTTCAAAGCCTTTTTGCCGTTTCCCAGACCTGGAGTGTGACTAAATCATATTGGCTCCTTACAGGGAACTGCCGGTCTGAATGGGAGGAATGGAGCGAAAGGGGAAAAAGGAGATCGAGGCATGCAGGGGCGAAAAGGAGAGCCGGTAAGGATTTTTAGGACTGTGGGGTCCTTGGTGCTCTCTGAGCTGGGTTGTTTTCTGGCAGACATTTCATGACCCACCTAGGTAACATCATCAGTGCCAGAAGGGGGCGAGGTTGGCTTTACATTGCATGGCTCAGAAGAAAAAAAAGACTTAAAGTTTCCCCAAAGGAACAGCCATTCAGCTTTAGCACAAAAGGGTCAGAGGAGGAGGAGGATTGTGATATGCTTAGTATTCTCTGAGCTTGGCTGATTTTTTTGAAGATATTTCATGACCCAAGTAGTAACATCATCAGTGCTAGAAGGGAGTGCGATTTGTGGAGAGGAGGAGGAGAAGGAGAAGGAGGAGGAGAAGAAAAGAAGAAGGAGGAGGAGGAGAAGGGGAAGAAGAAGAAGAAGAGAAGAAGAAGGAGGAGGAGGAGGAGAAGGAAAAGAAGAAGAAGAAGGAGGAGGAGGAGGAGGAGGAGGAGGAGGAGGAGAAGAGAAGAAGGAGAAGGAGGAGAAGGAAAAGAAGAAGAGAAGAAGAAAAAGGAGGAAGAGGAGAAGGAGAAGAAGAAGAGAAGAAGGAGGAGGAGGAGGAAGAGAAGGAGAAGAAGAAGAAGAAGAGAAGAAAAAGGAGGATGAGGAGGAGAAGAAGAGAAGAAGGAGGAGGAGGAGGAGAAGGAAAAGAAGAAGAGAAGAAGAAAAAGGAGGAGGAAGAGGAGAAGGAGAAGAAGAGAAGAAGGAGGAGGAGGAGGAAGAGAAGGAGAAGAAGGAGGAGGAGGAGGAGGAGGAGGAGGAGGAGGAGGAGGAAAAAAATTGGGGCGTCCTTGGTGCTCTCTGAGCTCAGATTGTTTTCTTGCAGACTTTTCATCACCCAACTAGATCAAACATCATCAGTGGGTTTTTGTTTTTTTTAAGGACAGTTTTCTCTTTGCTTATAATTGACCTCTGGATGTTTTCCGTTCATTCATCATTAACTAACGAGTCTCAGGCAAACGAGGACACCTCCTTTATCCTCCCATGGGGAAAGCCAGCAAGGTGCTTGATGGCTTCTCGCTATCTCCAAGGCTTCACGTAAGAAGTCAACGCTAAATGGGAGGGCCCCCCGGTTCCCCCCCAATACACAGCTTCGGTTCGACACCCCAGGTGGATTCCAGCGAAACAAGAAGTGTTCACCATCCTCAAGTGAAAATTCACAGAATCTGAAGTCAAAAAGGACCCGTCAGAAGCCAACCGGATATCGACCAGTTTTAGTAACTGAGCCCCAACTGATGGTGCTCCTCAAAAGTTTATTTGGGGTCTGTGTGTGAGTTTGGCTTTCTGTTTTTTTCTCCCTCCCGGTGGATTGTGTTGATCCTGTCTTTTTTTTTTTTTTTAGGGTGAAAAGGGACTTCCCGGAACGGTTGGGGACACCGGGAGGAAAGGGTCAAAGGTAGGGTGTGTTGGAAGGCAAGGTTTAACTGAGTATTTCTCAAAGCTGGCCACTTAAAAAGGAGCGGACTTCAATTCCCAGAATTCCCCAGCCAGCACAGCTAACCCCGATTCCTTCAGCCGGCTTTCCCCTTCCTGAGCTTAACCAGAATAGAGCTGGAAGGGACCTTGGAGGTCATCTAGTCCAACTCTCTGCTGGAGCGGGAAAGCCTACAGCGTACCATTTCAGACGAGTGGCTGTCCAGTCTCTTCTTGAAAACCCTCCGGGGATGAAGCACCCACAACTCCGGAAGGCAAGCCGTTCCACTGAATACAGAATAACAGACTTGGAAGGGACCTTGGAGGTCATCTAGTCCAACCCCCTGCTCAAGCAGGAGACCCCATAACATTCCGGACAAGTGACTGTCCAGTCTCTTCTTAGAAGCCTCCAGTGATGAAGCACACCACTTAATAATAATAATAAAGTTGGAAGGGACCTTGGAGATCATCTAGTCCAACCTCTTGCTCAAGATCCTATAACATTCCGGACAAGTGACTGCCCAGTCTCTTCTTAAAAGCATCCATTGATGAAGCACACCACTTAATAATAATAATAATAATAATAATAATAATAATAATAATAATAATAATAATAATAAAGTTGGAAGGGATCTTGGAGGTCATCTAGTCCAACCCCTTGCTCAAGCAGGAGATCCTATAACATTCCGGACAAGTGACTGTCCAGTCTCTTCTTAAAAGCCTCCAGTGAGGAAGCACACCACTTAATAATAATAATAATAAAGTTGGGAGGGATCTTGGAGGTCATCTAGTCCAACCCCTTGCTCAAGTAAGAGATCCCATAACATTCCGGACAAGTGACTGTCCAGTCCCTTCTTAAAAACCTCCAGTGATGAAGTATACCACTTAATAATAATAATAATAATAACAGTAATAAAGTTGGAAGGGATCTTGGAGGTCATCTAGTCCAACCCCCTGCTCAAGCAGCAGACCCTATAACATTCTGGATAAGTGACTGTCCAGTCTCTTCTTAGAAGCCTCCAGTGATGAAGCACACCACATAATAATAATAATAAAGTTGGAAGGGACCTTGGAGGTCATCTAGTCCAACCCCCTGCTCAGGCAGGAAACCCTATACTATTTCAGACAAATGGCACTTCTTAAAAACTTCTAGTGTTGGCGCACCCACAACTTCTGGAGGCAAGCTGTTCCACTGACTAATTGTTCTCACTGTTAGGAAGTTTCTCCTTAATTCAAGAGGTTCCCCCCCCCATTTTTTTTTTTACACTTCCCAAAAGTGTGCCAGCCACCCGAAGTAGCCTATGCGCCATTGAAAAGGTGGTCTCTCACATGCTCTGTTGTCTCGTTTGGCCCCTTTTCTGACGATGCTCAGGCCCAGAATGAAGAGTTGGGGCGTGCTGCCATTACACCCTTTCATTCTGATGGTCTTTATCCCCAGGGTTTACGTGGCTTGCAAGGAAAAACGGGGTCTCCCGGTTCAGACGGAGTGAAGGTAAGCACCCTCTCTTCCTGCTCTGATTAAATTGCAAATAAATAAATAAATGAATAAATACATAAAAATAAGATAGTGATTCTTCAAACGGACGCTCACTCCTGGGATTTGTCCATCCTGTTCCAACTTCATAAATAGAGAGGAAAATATTATCAGAATCGGTAAACATCTGGAGCCCTGGTGGCGCAGTGGTTAGAATGCAGTATTGCAGGCAAACTCTGCCCACTGCCAGCAGTTCGTTCCTGACCGGCTCAAGGTTGACTCAGCCTTCCCTCCTTCCGAGGTCGGTAAAATGAGGACCCAGGTTGTTGGGGGGGGGGTCAATAAACTGTAAATCACTCAGAGAGGGCTGTAAAGCACTGTGTAGCAGTATATAAGTGGAAGGAAGGAAAAAAGGAAGGAAGGAAGGAAAGGAAGGGAGGGAGGGGAGGGAAGGGAGGGAGGGAGGGAGGGAGGGAGGAGGAAGGGAGGAAGGAAAGGAAGGAAGAAGGAGGGAGGAGGGAGGAAGGGAGGGAGGAGAGGGGGAGGAGAAAGGAAGTGAGGAGAGAGGGAGGGAGTAAGGGAAGAAAGGAAGGGAGGGAGGGAGGGAGGAAGGAAGGGAGGGAAGAAAGGGAGGGAGGGAGGAAGGAAGAAAGAAGGGAGGAAGGAGGGAGGGAGGGAGGGAGAAGGGAGGGAGGAAGGGAGGGAGGGAGGGGAAGGGAGGGAAGAAGGGAGGGAGGGAGGAAGGAAGAAAGGAAGGGAGGGAGGGAGGAAGGGAGGGAGGGAGGGAGGGAGGGAGAAAGGGAGGGAGGGAGAAAGGGAGGGAGGAAGGGAGGGAGGGAGTAAGGAAGAAAGGAAGGGAGGGAGGGAGGGAGGAAGGAAGGGAGGGAAGAAGGGAGGGAGGGAGGGAGGGAGGGAGGAAGGAAGAAAGGGAGGGAGGGAGGGAGGGAGGGAGGAAGGAAGGAAGGAGCCATGGTGGCGCAATGGTTAGAATGCAGCATTGCAGGCTAACTCTGCCGACTGCCAGGAGTTTGATCCTGACTGGCTCAGAGTTGACTCAGCCTTCCGTCCTTCTGAGGTCGGTAAAATGAGGACCCAGATGTTGGGGGGCAACAGGCTGACTCTGTAAACCCCTTAGAGGCGCCTATAAGGCACTGTGAAGCGGTATATAAGCCTAAGGGCTATTGTTAAGTCGGAAGGGAGGGAGGGAGGAAGGAAGGAAGAAAGGAAGGAAGGAAGGAAGGAAGGAAGGAAGGAAGGAAGGAAGGAAGGAAGGAAGGAAGGAAGGAAGGAAGGAAGGAAGGAGTGAGCCATGGTGACACAGTGGTTAGAATGCAGTATTGCAGGCTAATTATCCCAACTGCCAGGAGTTCGAACCTCATTGGCTCAAGGTGGACTCATCCTTACATCCTTCCGACGTCGGTAAAACAAGGACCCAGATTGTTGGTGGGGGGGGGAGGCAAAAGGCTGACTGTGTCAACCACTCAGAGAGGGCTGTAAAGCCCTGCGAAGCGGTATATGAGTCTATTGCTACGTCAGTCAATTACAGGTGCATACATTAGGGCTTGTGTAATAAACCATGGTTACATGGACGGAGACAGATGTTCAGGGCTTAGTTCAAAAGGACTGGCGGTCCTCGTCCATTTAGTGACCGAAGTGACAACGGCAGTGGGAAAAAAAGGACCGTTTTTTTCATACCGACGAACGTGGCAGCCCCCCCCCCCGTGATCCCCTGATCCGAATTCTGACGTGAAAGTCTGCAAGAAAACCAGCAAGCCCCCCCCCACCCCCTTATATCCTGCCGTCTGTCGTGGGAAGGAAACGTTTGTCGAACCACGTAAAAAGGGAGACAAGAGTGGGCTGGGTGCTGTCAGGGTTGAGTGTCTGAGCGGCCGTGGGTTCCAGCTGCTTCAGAAGGGGTGGGTGGGTGATGGATGATGCGCCCAGGAGGGTTGACTCAAGGCTGAGTGGGTGCAGAGCGAACGTGGAGCGAATCTGGAAGGAAGGGGCCGCCAGGAAAAGGAGCACCTGGAAGCAGGTGGGGCACCCAGAGGATGGAGAAGGAGGGGAAGGAACAGCGGATGCTCAAAGAGGAAGACGGGGGAGGGCCGGGGCTGGGGGGAGTGGGTGAGATCTGCAGGGAGAGAGGGGGGGAATTAGGAATTAGGGCCACGGAGGGATGGAGTGGAGGGATTCACAAGGATGGAAAGATACGGAGAATGGTGCCGGAGTAAAGTAGATTTAAATGTATTTCCCTTCATTGTATAACTCCTGCTTCTTTCTTCCTTCCTTCCTTTCTCTCTCCCCTACCCTTCCTCACTTCCTCCCTCCCACCTTCCTGTCTCTTTTCTCCCTTTCTTCTTCCCTTCCTTCCTTCCTTCCTCCTTCTCCATCCTCCCTCCCTCCCTTTCTTTCTTCCTCCTTCCCTTCCTTCCTTCCTTTCTCCTTCCCCATCCTTCCTCCTTTCCTTCCTCCCTCCCTCCCTTTCTTTCTTTCTCTTTCCCTTCCTTCCTTCTGTCCTTCTTCCTTCCCTCCTTCCTTTCTCCTTCCCCATCCTTTCCTCCCTCCCTCCTTTCTTTCTTTCTTTCTTTCTTTCTTTCTTTCTTTCTTTCTTTCTTTCTTTCTCCTTCCCGCCTTCCTTTCTCCTTCCCCGTCCTTCCTCCTTTCCTTCCTCCCTCCCTCCCTTTCTTTCTTTCTCTTTCCCTTCCTTCCTTCTGTCCTTCTTCCTTCCCTCCTTCCTTTCTCCTTCCCCATCCTTTCCTCCCTCCCTTCTTTCTTTCTTTCTTTCTTTCTTTCTTTCTTTCTCCTTCCCGCCTTCCTTTCTCCTTCCCCGTCCTTTCCTCCCTCCCTTTCTTTCTTTCTTTCTTTCTTTCTTTCTTTCTTTCTTTCTTTCTTTCTCCCTCCCTCCCTCCCTCCTTTTCTTTCTTTCTCTTTCCCTTCCTTCCTTCTGTCCTTCCTCCTTCCCTCCTTCCTTTCTCCTTCCCCGTCCTTTCCTCCCTCCCTTTCTTTCTTTCTTTCTTTCTTTCTTTCTTTCTTTCTTTCTCCTTCCCTTCCTTCCTCCTTTTCTCCTTCCCTCCTTCTTTTCTCCTTCCCTGTCCTTCCTGCTTTCCTCCCTCCCTTTCTTTTTCTTTCTTTCTTTCTTTCTCCTTTCCTTCTTTCCTTCCTCCTTCCCTCCTTCCTTTCTCCTTTCCCATCCTTCCTCCTTTCTTTCCTTCTTCCCTCCCTTTCTTTTTCTCCTTCCCTTCCTTCCTTCCTTCCTCCTTTTCTCCTTCCCTTCTTCCTTTCTCCTTCTCCCTCCTTCCTTCTTCCCTCTTTCTTTCCTCCCTCCCTTTCTTTCTCCTTCCCTTCCTTCCCTCCCTCCCTCCCTCTCTCCCTCCCTCCCTTCTACTTCAACTTCTTCCTCTATGCTTTGCATCATATGGCCTACCCTGAAAGAGAATAGGATTATGGGTATTTATGCAGCTCCTCCGGCATAGATGCAGCCCCCGGCCCCTTCGAGCATGGCAGTTTTCTGCTTCCCCCAGCAGTTGAAGGGGGCAGCTGCATAATCCTTCACGGAAAGTAGGCTTAACTAAGTTCTGTGTATCCTCTTCGGTGGACAGGGGGAAGCCGGCATCACTGGCAAACCAGGAATCCCGGGTGCAGAAGGAAACCAGGGATCCAAGGTAAAGCGCGAACCTTTTTAAAGATACTTTAAAGATGCGTGAACTTCAATTCCCAGAATTCCCCAGTCAGCACTTGAAGATGTGTTTGAAGTGATGCTTGCATTGCACGGAGAAGTTTGAAAAAAACAACCAAGGCATTTCCCAGCCAAAAAACACTTGCAGATTTGCAAGCTCAAGTTGTTCTCCTGGGGCATCCATGGGAAGAGGGTCAAAAAAGTCAAAATGGCAGCCTCGCCGGTCCGATCCAGGCTCCACCCCTTTTGACCTGCAGAGTAGTGGTGTTCTGTTGATCGGGTGCTTGACCTACAACGACAACCTGCAACCATTGCTCAGCCACACAGTTGCTGATTGAGCTCTGCCCCCTTTTGCGACTTTTTGCCACCATTGTTAACCAAAACACTGCAGCCATTAAGGGAGTCACACTGTCGTTAATTGAATCCAGCCTTGCCCGTTGACTTTGTTTGTCGGGAGCTGGCTGGGAAGATCGCAAAAGGGGATCACATGATCCCGGGACGCGGTGACTGTGGGTAAAGACTGTGGGTAAAGCCTTCCAATTTGGCTCACGTGACTGCAACGGTCGTAAGTGTGAAACACGGTCATAAATCCCTTTTTTTCGATGCCCTTTCAGTAACTTTCAGTGACGGTCACTAAATGAACTTTTGTAAGTCGAGGGTTACCTGCGTTTGGAAGTTTAGCCCTTAAGTCTTGTGTGTGTGTGTGTGTGTGTGTGTGTGTGTTATGTTTTGCTTTGTTTTGTTTTGTTGGTTAAAAATAAAATTAAAAAAATAAATAAGTAAATTGCGTTGGCGCATCGATTAAAAAAAAAAAATCCAGTTTAGGCACTTGCTTTGGTGAGTTTTATTTTTGCTTTATTCAATCGAGCTGAGATTGACCTTTGAGTTCTTCCTAGGGGGAGCGTGGCATGTCCGGCACCAACGGTCCCAAGGGCATTGTGGGGCAAAAAGGAGAAAAGGTGAGTGTCTGCAGAAATCATCTCGGCAAAGGTCAGCGGGTGCTAGGACATCCATCAACTCTTGCAAACGAGGTTAAGGGATCCCCCTGTGCTCTGCAGAGGTCACATTTCTCCGATAATGGTTTGTTCAAGGTGGGCCCTCACTGGCCCTGGACGGCACCTTTAACCCGACATTGCTCCAGATGTCTGGTTATTATTACATTGTCTTCAAGGAGGCTGATCCCGGCACTGTCTTTTATTTATTTCTGCCGTTCAGAGGATGGTCTGTCGTAGCCAGATTGCTGGACGGCCTGTTTCAAATAATAAAATGAGGTTGAGTTCTGAAATAATGCAGAACGTATCATCTAAAGGTGTTAAGGTGCAGCAGATGGACAGGTAGCGAAAAGGTATTAGGTTTATATAAGTTGGACTCTGGTGGGTTTAGTAGGGGAAGGATGGTTTTAACATATGGTATTTAGATTGGTTTGATCATTGCTGGAAGGGAGGGGGGTTTGCAAAGAGGAGGAGGAAGAGGAGAAGAAGAAGAAGAAGAAGAAGAAGAAGAAGAAGAAGAAGAAGAAGAAGAAGAAGAAGAAGAAGAAGAAGAAGAAGAAGAAGAAGAAGAAAGGAAGAAGGAGGAGGAGGAGGAGGAAGAAGAAGAAAGAAGGAAGAAAGAAGAAGAAGAAGAAGAAGAAGAAGAAGAAGAAGAAGAAGAAGAAGAAGAAGAAGAAGAAGAAGAAGAAGAAGAAGAAGGAGGAAGGAGAAAGAAGAAGAATAAGGAAGAAGGAAAAAAAGAAGAAAGAAGAAGGAAGAAGAAGAAGGAAGAAAAAAGAAAGAAGAAGAAGAAGAAGAAGAAGAAGAAGAAGAAGAAGAAGAAGAAGAAGAAGAAGAAGAAGAAGAAGGAGGAGGAGGAGGAGGAAGAAAGAAGAAAGAAGAAGAAGACAAAGTAGTAGTAGTAGTAGTAGTAGTAGTAGTAGTAGGAGGAGGAGGAGGAGGAGGAGGAGGAGGAGGAGGAGGAGGAGAAATCCTTGATGGTTTTCTGGCAGACGTTTCATCACCCAACCAAGTAACATCATCAGGGCTAGAAGGGAGTAGGGTTGGAGGAGAAGGAGAAGGAGGACTGTGGGGTCCTTGGTGCTCTCTGACCTTGACTCTTTCATTACCAAACTAGGTAACCTCCTCAGTGCTAGAAGGCTCTGGAGTTTGCTTCTAGCATTGCTTTCTAATACTGAGGAGGTTATCTAGTTCGGTAATGAAACGTCTGCAAGAAAACAACCAAGCTCGGAGGAAAAAGAGAATTTTAATTTTCCCCAAACACAAAGCTCTCCAGCTTTAGCACAAAAGAATCCTAATAGGGAAAGCCCGCTAATTTTCGTATGCAGAAAGGCAACTCTTCCCGTTCAGAAAAAATATCCTAATGTCCAACCAAGATCTGTACTTCTGGAATTTTGACCCAGTCTCACCCCCCCCCCCCCGGGAACAACGGGGAAGAAAACTTCACAAACAATCTGATATTTTAAATAAATGTTCTCCAACTCCTTCCAACACTATTCTGCTCTCTCTGTGGGAGTTTGCAGGGGGCCAAAGGTGTTCCTGGCTTGGCTGGCTTCAAGGGCCAAGGGGGCCTTTCTGGCAAGGCTGGCGTTCCTGGACCGCTGGGGAACCAAGGACCACCAGGTGACCCAGGACCGCAGGTAAGAAGGAAGTCGAGGACTGTGTGTTAGAGGGACAGAATCGCTGCTTTCTATCTCCATTTGTCTTTTTTTTTTCCTCACACAGTTTTTTCTCTCTTTAGGTCTTGGGCCTGCTATATTTCTCAGCCAGCATCACAATTATTATTTTTTTAAGGCCTTCAGACTATTAAGAGAATGAATCAAACTAAAGCATCTCTAAACTTCCACCCCCAGTAATGGTGGGGGGCTCTCTGTCATCTTGCTTGCATTATTAAAGTGCCTTTACTCTTGGGGATTTATTTATTTTTCTGACAGTCAACTGGAATTTAAATTTAGCATTTCGTTTCAATCCATTATTCATCTCCTGCACTTTAGAATGAGAGAGAGAGAGAGAGAGAGAGAGAGAGAGAGAGAGAGAGAGAGAGAGAGAAGCAGGTTTTTCTGCTTAGGCTAAACTTTTACATTTCTTTACGTCAGGGGTCTTCAAACTTGGCCCTTTTATGACTTGTGGACTTCAACTCCCAGAATTCCTCAGCCAGCCTCCATTTTGTTTGTTAGATTTAAGACAGGGGCCTTCAAACTTGGCCCTTTGATGATTTGTGGACTTCAACTCCCAGAATTCCTCAGCCAGCCTCCATTTTGTTTGTTAGATTTAAGACAGGGGCCTTCAAACATGGCCCTTTGATGATTTGTGGACTTCAACTCCCAGAATTCCTCAGCCAGCCTCCATTTTGTTTGTTAGATTTAAGACAGGGGTCTTCCAACTTGGCCCTTTTATGACTTGTGGACTTCAACTCCCAGAATTCCTCAGCCAGCCTCCATTTTGTTTGTTAGATTTAAGACAGGGGTCTTCCAACTTGGCCCTTTTATGACTTGTGGACTTCAACTCCCAGAATTCCTCAGCCAGCCTCCATTTTGTTTGTTAGATTTAAGACAGGGGCCTTCAAACTTGGCCCTTTTATGACTTGTGGACTTCAACTCCCAGAATTCCATAGCCAGGCACGCTTAAAATGAGTTAGCATTATTATCCACAAGTCATAAAAGGGCCAAGTTTGAAACCCCTGACATAATATGAGGGGGAAATAATGCTAACTCAGAAAGAGCTAAACTGGTGTTTCTCAACCTCGGCCATTTTAAGAGGTGTGAACTTCAACTCCCAGAATTCCTCAGCCAACGTGCCTGGCTGAGGAATTCTGGGAGTTGGAGTCCACAAGTTGGAAGACCCTTACTTTAAGTCTTTCTGTGTAGACTTCATCCCTCTAAAATAAATCAGTGTTTCTTAACCTCTGCCAGGTTAAGAAGGGTGGACTACAACTCCCAGAATTCTCTGAGTGCAACCCACCTCAGAGTGTTGTTGTTGTTGTTGTTCTGGGGAAAATAAGGGGAGGAAAATGCATTGGCTATATGTTATGTCCCGAGCCTTGCAAACGGCTCGGGCGTTTGCAGGCAGTCCCGGGCAGGTGCAAAGCTGCCCGGGACCAGACAGGCTGTCGCCAGCGCCGTGCGCATGCGCGGGTGCTGGCGCGGGAAAAGTAACCCATTTACCCGGGAGTTGCCTATATAAGAGGCTGCGAGGCGTTTGGGCGAGGCTGAAGCCATCTTCCTGTAAGCTGAACGCTGAATAAAAGAAACTGAGAACTCCAGCTGCTTCTCGTGTCTGTTTTCCCGCCACGGACTCAACACTGGCGACGAAGGTGGGATGCCTTGCACTACCTGGAAAGGAAGAAGTGTAAGCTTACCCAAGGAGTCCTGAGCGGCGGAAGAGGAACGGCGTCGACTCGGCAGCTACCCGCCAATCCGGTGCGCATTCGGGGGTAGGCTGGCTGATAGACCCGTCTCCTGAAGATCCGAAGATGGCGAAAATCGGAAGGCTTTCGGAATTCGACGTCTCACATCCAGAGCGGTGGGAGTCCTACGTATCCAGAATGGAGAACTACTTCAAGGCAAACCAAGTGAGGGAAGATAGCTTGAAGGCCGCCACCCTGCTTTGCGTTTGCGGCCAAGACGCCTTCGAAATCGCAGAAAATCTTGTAGCACCTGTTCCAGTAGAGTCTGTAAGCTACGCAGACCTGAAGAAGCTGCTGAAAGAGCACTTCCACCCCAAGGTGTCCGTTATCTCATGGCGCCACACCTTCGAGCAGAGGGATCAACGGTCCGGTGAAACAGCCAAGGAATACATCGCCGCGCTACGGAAGGCCGCCAAGCCCTGCGAGTTCAAGGACCTCGAGGAACGACTGAGGGACCGATTCGTGTGCGGGCTAAGGCATCGAGAGCTACAACAGAGACTTTTTGCCAAGGAAGAATTATCCTTCCAAGACGCCTTAAGGGAAGTCACCGCAGAAGAAGCAGCAGGCGGCGCCATCAAAAACATGCGGCCGATCAGAAACAGTGCAGAGGGTGCGTCCGTGCACCAGGAAGACGTCCGACGAAACTCCGAGGAGGATCCGGACGAGGAAGTCGACCGTCTACACCCCGCGAAGGAAGAGAACCAGAAGGGAAGCTCTTCGGCTCTGCTCAAGTGCATCGGCTGTGGAGGTCGCCACAGGAGAACCGACTGCAAGTTCCGCTCCGCTACCTGCCGGGCATGCGGCAAACAAGGGCATATTGCAGCTGTGTGTCTGAGCCGACGAAAGGCACAACCCCAAGAAGAACGCCTGAAAGGTACCAGATTCCCCAGCCAGAATAGGGTAGGGTTTTGCGCTTCGCGAAGAAGCATCTGTAGAACAGGCACACACAAGCCCATGAAGAAAAAGCTGTCACTCAACGTGAAGCTACAAGGGGTTCCATTATCTATGGAACTAGACACAGGGTCTGCCCTGTCCATCATTTCATTGCATACATTTAGGAAGATTTGTTCCAGTAGTGGGTCTAAGGCCAAGTTAAGGCCTTCTGATATTGTATTAACAGATTTTCAGAACTCAAGAGTGTGTGTTAAGGGGGAGGCCACCCTTAACGTGCAATACAAGAGCTTTGAAGGTCCACTAGACTTATTAGTAGTAGGGGGTGAACGAACGAGTCTCATAGGACTCGATTGGTTTGAGGCCCTGGGGATACACGTCACAGGACTCAACAGCTTACAAACACTCGACCTACAGGAAGTCTGCAAAGAATTTGCAGATGTTTTCAGCCCCCAGCTGGGCACATTCAAAGGACCACCTGTGTCCTTAAAGCTAGACCCCACTGTCACTCCCATTAGGATTAAAGCAAGAAGGGTCCCTTTTGCTTTAAAAAGTAAGATTGACACTGAATTAGACAAACTAATCCAACAAGGAATCCTAGAACCTGTTGATTCCAGCCCATGGGAGACCCCCATTGTCACGCCTCTAAAGGCAAATGGGGACATTCGCATTTGTGCTGATTACAAATGCACACTCAATAAGGCATTGCAGCAACATGCCTATCCTGTTCCTGTGGTCAGTCACATCCTGGCCTCTCTCAAGGGGGGGCGTGTTTTTGCAAAGCTTGACCTAGCTCAAGCATATCAACAGCTGCCTGTTGATGATGATGCTGCCATAGCTCAGACCATTGTGACCCACAGGGGAGCCTTTAAAGTAAAAAGGCTACAGTTTGGAGTAAATGTCGCTCCTGGGATTTTCCAAAGCGTAATGGAAAACACACTACGAGGTATACCAGGGGTCTGCCCCTACTTTGACGATGTCTTGATTGCAGGAGACTCCACACACATTCTAGCTGAAAGACTTAGGGCTGTCCTGTTAAGATTCAGGGAATCAGGCCTCAAGCTCAGAAAAGACAAATGCAAGATCGGGGTGCCTTCTACTGAATTTCTGGGATTCAAAATTGATGCTGCTGGGATTCATCCTGCTGAATCCAAACTAACTGCTATTTTAGAAGCACCCAGGCCAAAGTCTAAGGCCGAACTTCAGGCCTTCTAGGCCTCCTGAATTTCTACAATTCTTTTCTTCCACATAAAGCTAGTGTAGCTGAGCCTCTTCACAGGCTACTAGACAAACAAGCTGTGTGGCTGTGGTCACAAGCACATGAGGCTTGCTTTAAAGAAGTCAAGGCCTTGCTCACTTCTAACAGTGTTCTTGCACATTTCAACGAGTCTCTTCCTGTGTGCATCGCTTGTGATGCATCCCCCTACGGGGTTGGAGCTGTCCTGAGTCACCTCAGGTCTGATGGAACTCAGGTTCCTATTGCATACTACTCCAGAACACTGTCTTCTGCCGAGCGCAACTACGCTCAGATAGACAGGGAGGCTCTGGCTGTTGTTGCTGGAATTAAAAAATTCCACGATTTTCTATATGGCAGGCATTTCACGGTCTTCACTGACCATAAGCCTCTGCTGGGACTGTTTACCACACGTAAGCAGACTCCCCACATCATTTCCCCTAGAATGCTTAGGTGGTCTATTTTTTTGTCTGCATATGATTTTTCATTACTCCACAAGCCTGGGAAAGAAATGGGCCATGCTGATGGCCTCAGTAGGTTGCCTCTGCCAGTAGTAGAAGCTGACCCCGCGCCAGCTGTCAACATTCTATCAATCCAAGCCTTGCCCGAGCTCCCTCTTAGTGCCAGGGATGTTACCGCTGAAACAGGTACAGATCACACACTTTCACGTGTCCGCTCCTGGGTCCTGTCCGGGTGGCCTGAGCACTGCCCTAGTCCTGAGTTTCAGAGTTTCTGGTCCAAAAGAAACGAACTGTCCCTTTCTCAGGGTTGTCTGCTTTGGGGAAACAGAGTTGTCATTCCCACCTCAATGAGGACTAGGGTCTTAGAATCCCTCCACGAGGGTCATCCTGGCATTGTCCGTATGAAGGCTCTTGCACGAAGCCACTTGTGGTGGCCTGCTTTAGATAAAGATATTGAGGCTAAGGTGCACGCATGCCACCTCTGCCAACGATCTCGCCCAGAGATGCCCCAAGCTCCTGTGCATAGATGGGAGGAAACACAGTCCCCATGGTCTAGGGTGCACATTGACTACGCTGGGCCCTTTCAGGGCCAGTTCTTCTTGGTCCTTGTTGACAGCCATTCAAAATGGCTTGAGGTTGTGCCTGTCTCATCCACCACCACTGCAAAGACTATTCAGGTACTGAGGGGGATTTTTGCTGCACACGGGCTGCCAGATGTCATCGTGTCCGACAACGGCCCTCAATTCACCTCCTCCGAATTCCAAGCTTTCTTACAGGCAAACCTGATTCGTCATGCCACGTCTGCGCCTTTTCACCCGTCCACCAACGGTATG